AGACTCTCAAGATCTCCATCTCTCCCTGCGTAGCAGCTGCTCAAGCCAGCTTAACGAAAAATCACCGGAATGCCCTCGTAGTGATCATGCCAGATTGGAGGACCACGAGGTAAAGCATACTGGTGGAGAACTGTCTGACTCACCAAGTGAGTATTCTATTTTCAGTCGAGAAGGTTCCACAAGAACACCGGCGATGCACCTACCGTCAGGCCACCCTGACGAAGATCTACACCTGTCGCTACCCACCAACTGGGAGAAGGAGTCGGACTCTGGACAGCCAGAAAGCTTCCGAGATAATTGTGTGAGTCACATTGTAGAAGCCTCTACGTATCGTGTCACGTGGACACCGGTCATCCACGTGTCGTATGGTTTCACAGGTCAGTGTCTTGTCAACAGGCCATTCCGTAGAGCAAGAAGCGGCGATCAAGAGGTTCAATCCTGGAGCTCAAGCTCGGAGGAATGCTTGTCTGCCTTGTCTCCCCAGCCACCACAGCCTGTTGACAGTTTGTGTATGGAGAAAGCTGACATACTCGAGTGCGTTTCCTTATTGTCCGAAACTGGCGCAGACTGACCATTCCAGCGAAGCTGTAACGGTGAATGTGATTTACCACTAGCTTAAACCCAACTCATCTCTCCCCCTTCCTCCCCCATCCCCCTTTCATGTTCTTTACTCCTCCTTTGTGTCCTCCTCCTCACGCACACCCTGTCCCTTCGTCTTCCCCTGTTTAGCTTTTTGAGTTGAAGGACTCTGCTTCTTGGACCTTTCTGCAATAAAACATTCTGACTCTTGTTATTCTCAATGCCTGAATTGTTTAAATTCCATACTATGTTTCTGAGCACAACTCCCATCTTCTGTTAAGCCAACCCCTTCCTCTCTTGCTTTTTTACCTTTACTCACAGAATATATCTTTCAAGGGTGAATCATTATATTTGATATGTTCAAAATAGTTTAGGTTCATTGTCATTATGCTCTAAAGGAGTGTTGGTGTTTCTATACCTATTTCCCTTCATACTCCTTCTTCAGTTTCTGTCTTCAGTATATCTTTAAAAGTCTTCTAGTCTTTTGACTGCCGTTGCTTCTTAATATTGTTCAATGTTGTTGGAATACAATACTTCTTAGAATTCTTTTTTTTTCTATCATTGCAATATGTGCTTTCCAGATGTAATTTATCCTTTTCAATTTTTATGATGCAATTTAAATTCTCTGGAATTGTCTTCTCATTCTTTCGTCTTGGCTCCGTCGTATTTAAAATTGCTTTCTTGCTATTTCTTCCACACAATTCTTAATGTAACATCTTCTTTGCATTTTTTTATGTCTGTCATTTCGCTTTTCTTTCCATCTAGATCAATTCTGTTTGGGTCACTGTGTTTGTTGACAAATTCTTATTACAGTCTCTCATTTTCTTGAGTTTTGTGGCAACCTCGCTCCAACCACAAGATTGCAACTATTTTTAGGTCCAAACAATGATGTACTTTACCAAAGATAGTACAAGACAAGATGGGCCACTTCTCTCTTTGAGCCAATTTAAAAAATGTCCTCAAAATTTGGTGGCGCCCTCTTCGCAAAAGCGCACTTTTTGCGAACAGAGTTACCCTACTTGAGTTTTAAAAAATCGAAGTGAAACTAGCAAGTTTTGGGATAAATTTCGGAAGAACGCTTTTTAAAAATGGTTACGCTGACAAAAAACCT